TTTTTGCGGTTTAAAAAAAAAAATACATATGGTTCAGAACAGATTAACTGTAATTATATTGAACCTTATGGGAAAATTTGATTCGGGTCATGACCAACTCGGGTTGCGACCAGAGTCGCGGAACGAATTAAGTTCGTGAACTGAGGTACCACTGTATTTAACATCTTTTTATAAGATATAACCAGAACCCATTCTTCTTAGCTCTTTCCATTCTAGATTCTTATGTCAAATAATCAGATTAGCATTTCTTCCATACAAGAGATTGAAAAAACACTTCACCGTTGTCATCTTAACAAATAAACCAAGTATGCAGCATTAAATTACTGTTGTTGCTCTGCAGTATTTATATAGCGGGGTCACTTGCTAATATTTGTTACTCAGTTTCTTACATAAAAAATGGCAAAGGTAAGTTCAAAATTTGGAAAGAAAAATCAGGTACAAAGCTTTCCAAAATGTCAAATATATTAACAATACCTTTCAAAGAACTAATCATCCGAGGACAGTGCTGCAACAAATATTTTTCCAAATCATCCCAGGCTTTTTTAAGTGTAGCATAATACTGAATATATTTTCCTAAATCGGCATACATATCTATGAAAATTGCTTTCCAGCTCTTATTTCTTCGAGACTTCTCAGCTCTAAAAAATAAAATATATACATACATTTTAAAAGCAGCAAATGGTAATACAAATACCACATTTATACATTATGTACACTGACAATATAGATAAGGTTAGAACAGCTGTTTCAAAATTGACATTTGTTAATCTGAGCCTGAAGTGGCTTATTTCTTGCTCAAAATGTTTTGAATTAAAAACTTTCTACACTCCATTAATTAATGCAACATAATTTACAAAGATAGGGGAGATCAGCCCAGATCTATTGACCACCAAACCACCTCTTCTACTCTGGCAAATTTGAGCTATTCTAGTACACCTGCAGAAGAACCAATTAATCTTTTAGAAGCTGTTCCTGTAGAATAAATATTATCATGGCAAACTGATATTTAGAAAAATTTCCAGCTATCTAAAAATGAACAAAAACCCAACTCTTAATTCAATATTTTAAAATCTCACTCTCTCTCCACATACATATTCATTCTCTTCCAACCCATACTAAGCTTAAGGAAGTAACATATCAACCAAGAGAAAACCTCTGTGCAATCTACACATGAACTACTACAGTATGTAAGTGTAGATATAAATAATTTATAAAGATATTTATAAATATTAATAATTCATATGTTAATACCAAATAACTCAGATGGTTACACCTAGAGGCAATTTCAAAGCCTTGTTCTTCCTTCTTACATTTATTAACTTAGATTGGATAAATATTTAGAAGCCATTTTTATCTTATGAAAAATCAAATACTATCCATACTTACTCAGACAAAAGCCAGTATTTCTTACAATGCCTCTTCCACAATGGATCATGGATTGAAAGTTGATTTAATCTACGACTTACAAAACAGCAACTGCAATACAGATGTATCAGATTAAATTTGTCTACAGTCATAATAATGCCAGAATCGTTTTTATTACACAGTAGAGAATAGAGCTGAAAACCTCCCATGTTAAAAATGAAACCAAACGTTTTATGCAGATGTTTAATATTTAAATGATCACACATTCAATTATTTAGAAGTAGAAGTTGTAGATATATATTTATTTGAATTCACTTATTTTCCTTTTTTTAAGCTTTCAGGATTCAGTGTTTGAAAGAACCTGCCAGAGTTGTTCTGGACAGATAGAATGAATGACAAGAAAACATGAGAATCATTGCAAAAGAAAGAAAATGTTAAAAACCTCACCTTCCAATCACTGGAAATTGTATACATTACTTTCTTACTTTTCAATAAATAACGCAAACATATTACCCTTAGTGAATTTCCATTTATAAACTGGAATCTAAATATGTCAAACTCAACATTTTATATAAAATTCTGTCACTGCATGGAATACACGCTGTACCCTCAAGGAACAATCCATATAGTGTTCCCATTAATATTTAGTAATAATGAACGGCCACTGCAGGTACTATCAGGCCTTGACCCTGCTGGCCTTTTGGAAAACCCTTAAGAAAACCCTATTTACAGGGCATGGGGGTTGGGAGAGTAGGAGAGTCCATGATGTTCTGATTGACTGGTTTACTCAGTTGCATGTTCTTTTATTTTGTTCTAATTCTTTTACCTTGTTATGGTTTTGTATTGATTTTTAAACTTTTTAAAGTCACCCCAAAGACACATTTCAGTTCTTCCTTTCATAAGGGTTTTAACTTTCAAAACATGCTTCTTTCTCTCTTACAGTTTAGAATTACTGTATTTACCTTGTTATGGTTTTGTATTGATTTTTAAACTTTTTAAAGTCACCCCAAAGACACATTTCAGTTCTTCCTTTCATAAGGGTTTTAACTTTCAAAACATGCTTCTTTCTCTCTTACAGTTTAGAATTACTGTATTTACCTTGTTATGGTTTTGTATTGATTTTTAAACTTTTTAAAGTCACCCCAAAGACACATTTCAGTTCTTCCTTTCATAAGGGTTTTAACTTTCAAAACATGCTTCTTTCTCTCTTACAGTTTAGAATTACTGTATTTACCTTGTTATGGTTTTGTATTGATTTTTAAACTTTTTAAAGTCACCCCAAAGACACATTTCAGTTCTTCCTTTCATAAGGGTTTTAACTTTCAAAACATGCTTCTTTCTCTCTTACAGTTTAGAATGGGATTATCTATTACAGCTAAGTGCAGAGAGACACAGAACTGAAAAAAATAGTCTTTTTTTACAATGTATAATTAAATTATGAAATTTATTGCTGCCAGATTAGCTCATAGCAACTAACTGAAAGTTTAAAAAGAGACTAACAAATCAAAATCTGCTGAAATGAAATAAATGTCAAAATATTTATCCATAATTTTGATCAGTGACCCTGACTGCTCATTGGAAGGATTGATAATGAAGCTCAAGCTCAGATACTTTGGTCACC